CGAGCCTGGGCTGTTGCCCTGAGCACGGGTCCCTCCCGCAACCCCTCGGTGCGGGTGTCCGTCCTGGTTTGGGACGGCGTGGGTTTGTGAGAAGAAATAACGCTGTAAAATGTGTTGTTGCCGTTAAACACGAGGAAACTTGTTCCGCAATGGCCATGTCACCGATGTGATCGAAAAATCGTGTGGAAACGTAGAGTGCTTTGAAAATAAAAAATCGAGGGAAGGGACAGCGGTGGGACCGCAGCCTGTGGAATTGTTCACTCGTGGCCTGTGCCAGAGAGCGCCCCTCCAAAGGGCTAATTAACGGAGGGGCTGAGGGAGAACAGCCACCTGAGACCTAACACCCAATTGCCAGTCTTTTGTAATATATAATTTGCCTAAAATTGCGCGCTGAGCACAAGCTTTTGTTTTCTAATTGATTTACGGTTTGAGCCACTTCCCGTCCCCCACAGTCCCGCGCGGTGCCAGCAGGTACATTACAGGGAGACATGAGTGATGGGGGTCCTTCGCGCATTGAGAGCGTCCCAAAGACAGAGCTCTGCGAAACTCATTTCTCTCTCTCAAGTAACCGTTTGATCGTTTGCTTTAATTTGTCTCTGAGACCTAATTGAACCTGGAGATTAAAATTTATGCTGTTATGGCTTTCCATTGGCGAATCGGGACAAAGTTGTGTGGAACGCGTGCGAGTGTGGGCTTAAAAGTACCAGTATTTTTGCAACTTTTAATAAGTTAATTGATCAGAAAAGTAACCGGTATTACAGCCTTTTAAAAATCTAAATATGGTACTTGTTAGTGACAGCTGTGATATGCATTCTCAAATGGCATTGCTCCCCTTTTAGAGGAGAGTATATAGCTTAGTGTAGGTACCATCTAACTGATGTTTATCACCGAAACTGTTTAAATATTTTAATCTACTTTATTTTGGAGGTGTTGTGTGTCTTGCACTGAATAAAATCTCTACAGGTATCGAGGAAGAACTTAAGATCTTGTATGTATAATTTCTACTTGTGTTTGTGAAATACCATCCTGATATCCCAGAAAAAAGGCAAAACATGGAAGTTGAAGCCTAATATTCTGCTTATTGTCTGATTTCTTTCCCTCACCCTGCACCATGAGCTGGGATTCGTTTTACTTTTACCTACTCAGTCCACCTTAAATTTTTTATTTTTGTACAATGTCTGTGGGTTCCAGTCTTGAAATATGAAGAAACAGATTTATGGTGGCTGCTGGGCACAACAAATTAAGTTGACAGTGATGTATGAGAGCATAATAGCATGATGATCCCTCTGTAGCGCGGCTGGACGCCTCCTGCTTCATTTGGCTCTTGTTAGGATCTGTTAGGCAGCTAAATAATGAAATTCTGCTGACTGATTTCTGATTTCTCTCTTCTTTCTCTTTTCACCTTTTCCTAAAACTTGCATTTCCCAGACCCATCCTAATGCCAGCAAACTGCCCTTAAAGGATTCTTTCACTTATGATGACTACAGGTTGGTCTGTCTTTTAATTAATTTTTTTTTTTTTACTTTATTTTTTTTTAATATAGTAAACTGTGGGACTCTGCGAATGCTTCATTAAGGGGAAAGCTCTATTGTTACTGAAATGTTAAATGTAGGCTTTGATACTAATACACTTTCTTAATGAAGAAGAAAGTAAAAAAATATGCAGATTTTAATTGTTACAAAGGAATACTCATTATGAGCAGTTAATTCAGCCAACTGGCAAGCAGAGTCTGAGATTAGTAAGGTAATTCATTGTTTCTTAAGAAAATAATTCAATTGATGTTGCAGGAGGTTTGAGGTTTATTTTATTTTTTAATTTATTTTTTTATAAAAGGCTTTGCCAGCACATAGTAGTAAAAACTAATATTTACAGTGGCTGTTGAACAGGGCAGCTGGAGGACTGAAGCTGTACATGTCACTGTACATGACTGAAGCATGAGCGTCACTTGGAGGTGCTATAGGGGGTGATGTAGATAAGATAAAAATAAGAAAAATTAAGATAACTTTAAGAGAGCTTTAATTCTGTTAAATGGTTAAAATAGCATGAATAAAAGGCATTCCATGAGGTCTTACAGGGATTTTTTATTAACCTAGCTGTACTTCTGTGTAAATCTATGAAAGTGGGATTTCCAAAGCATGTCTCCTTTGCTTATAGGCTCACAGAGGAACATCCCAACTTACATGTAAAGTGGTCTAAAATTTTGCAGATAAAATACAACAATTAAAAATAAGCATATTGCTATTATGTTTCAAACAGTGTTTGTATATCAGAATCACCCACAATTTTAACTTGCTTTTTTAGAAATGAAGTAATTTCAATTTGATAGTATCTTTGTAAGCAATCTCTAGTTCTTCTGAAAAAGTCCTTTTGAAAATCTAATTAAAATTATTTTAACCTTCTCCTGGTAGTGATTTTTTTGTTGATTTTTTAAAATATATCTTAAGGCCAGAACATAGTGAAACTAAGGTTATTCTTTTTGCTCTGGCATTTAATATTAATTTTTGTCTGAAAGAAAATAAAAATTAAATTTTTGAAAATACTGAAATGTTAAGCTTTTCTGAAGATTCTTATGTTTGAACAGGTAGCTGGAATTTCCTTTGCTTAACCTGAGTTAGAAGGGTTTTGAATGATGTCTCTGTGCTAAACTATGTTATACTTTCTTCATTCTTTTTACCTGGATATCTCTTTGGGGTATTGGGGCTTTTTTTCCTCTTTATTCTGTTAAGCAGAAAATTTAGCAATACTGATCCAAGCCAAAAGTTCACAAACTGAAGAGAAGCGCTTACAAAAATGCCATGCATATGCCAGGTGATGACACTGGTTTCCAGTTCACACAGTACATGAGCTTTTCAGGGAGCGAGGGGAAAAGAACCCTCTGGCTCTTAGAAAAGTCTGCACGTAGATGAGAGCCGCTGCTGGCAAAGCAGTAGCTGTGCACTGCCCTGAAGCCTGCGGGGATAGCAGACCCCAGGCTTGGGATGTGTGGCGAGAGGTGTGTGTGCAGTGAAGGGCTGGGGAAGCGGAAGGCGATATGGGAGTGGGTCCTGGTTGAGGTAACGGCCAGTACAAAGGTTCTGTGCAAAGAGTAAAGGTTCTGTGCAAAGAGTACAGCAGAGGGATGGGAATGCAGTCCTGATCTGGGAGTTGATCTGTGGGCATGTCTTGGAAACCTAGGAGCTGCTGCTTCTCCTGTGAGTGCTGTTGTTGCCTTTTACTGTTACTATAGTCAGTGTGATCTTTATGAAAACTAAGTTTGGAAACTCCCAACCTAAATGATTGCTTCGGGTTGGACTACAGCCAGTCATATATTGATGCTTTGAACATTGATCATCTCATGTTTTTAATTTTTGTAGATGGGCGGTTTCCTCTGTTATGACACGGCAGAACCAGATTCCAACAGAAGATGGTTCCAGAGTTACATTGGCTCTAATACCTTTGTGGGACATGTGTAATCATACTAATGGACTGGTAAGGATTCCTTCAGTGTTGCTGAAGGGCTTTAGGGCTTAAGTATTAAGCCTTTCAACTGCTGTAGAACAATTTAATAACACTTTTCATTATGCTTCTTAACACAGGTATTTTATCTTCCCAAGTGACCCTAAAAAACTAATACCTGAAAGAAGGCTTTGTCAGTTTCTTAAATGTCTTACAATAGCTTTTCAGGGAAACTTTCTTCATCTAGAGAAAACTGTAGAAGTGATTGCATACTTGCATACAGTTCTGTCTCATATACATATAATGTGCCTTTAAAAGTGTTCAGTTACATGATGCCTTTTTTTACAGCCAATTTTGAATATTCTTCTGACATGGAGTTTTGTTTCTGACAGGCTGAAAAAAGATTCATAATACTGGACAGATTTGTTCTGAGAAAGGAAAGCAGACAATGATGGAGGTTGCCTCTTGTAGCTACCACTAGGGAAAGTGGTTAGAAATTTGCAACTAAGAAGTACTGCCTGCTCTCCTAACCATGCCCAAAGAGCCTTGTTATGGAGGCAGCAACAACAAGAACAAAGCCTAGTTCAACAAAAACAGTACATCTGTTTCTACATCAAAGAAACAAAATGCAAAAATACTACTTTAGGGCATATTAAACATTTAAAAGGTGACATGTATATAGAAAGTCAGACCTGCTGACATTTAGGCTTACGTGAGCTGGTTCAGAAGATGAGGTCTTGATTTCATTAACAGGCTAGTTAATGCTTAATGCGAAGGTAGCGATAGGACATGGGGAAATGGTTTTAAACTAAAAGAGGGGAGATTTAGACTAGATATAAGGAAGAAATTTTTTACAATGAGGGTGGTGAAACACTGAAACAGGTTACCCAGAGAGGTGGTAGAAGTCCCATCCCTGGAAACATTCAAGGTCAGGTTGGATGGGGCTCTGAGCAACCTGATGTAGTTGAAGATGTCCCTGCTCGCTGCAGGGGCGTTGGACTGGATGACCTTTAAAGATCTCTCCCGACCCAAGCCATTCTGTGAGTTTAAAGTTGAAGTGGGGAAGTGGAAACCCGTAAGAGGATGGTTTATCAGTGTTATTTAGCCAGTCTCATGTACACTTCAAAATTCATACCCTCTAATTGTGTTTCCAGTAGATAGTACTATTTATTGTAAGCAGTGAGTATGACCATGCTCTTAAAGTGATCTCGTTCTTTTGTGGGAGAGTTGACCTGAGTGTTAGGACAGCAGCACATTAGTATTGTTGGTATAAGAAAAGCCTGGTTTAAATGAACAAATTGTAAAGCAAGTTGTTTTGCAGTTGATATTTAGCTAATTTATTGTCTCTATGACTGTACCAAATACAGCATGATAGACTAGACTACAAAGTTCAGGTATTTGGGTTTTTTTTACTTATTTGTTTTTCCCAATTAAAAGGTGATTACGTGTCCTTTAACAGTGATTCTTGCCTTTCAGTATTTGTTATGCCATCTCATAACTTTGATTTAGCAATAAAGCTTGTATGAGAGTCTCCAATGTAAAGAAAATTACTTAAAATTCAGAAATGTATATTTTTGTAATATAAGTCTTAGCTGCAAGTATCAGTACTTCCTGTACCGTTTTCCTGCTGGGCATCTCTTTCAGATGCTTTTGCAGAGACTTGTCTGTATTCATTAGACAACTTTTAATGAATGCCTTCAAAGTTGGGATTAGAGGAAAGAGGAAGAGAATTAAGGTTCTGAGAGGGGAAAAAATTAAGTAGCCTATATTAAAAGAACAGCTAGTTATGTTGTTTTAATCATTCAAACTTCCATTTAAATTGATAAAGTAATTTTTGTTTTTATTATGCTCTTTAACAGTGGGTTTGATATGGAGCCAGCCTCTGGAGCCAAACCTGCTAGTGCAGTAGTATATCAGGGTTGGAAGCATTTTTTTATGCTCAAGTGTATCCTAAAGGGCGGGGGGGTGGGGATGGTGTGGTGTGTGCTGAACTTAAATATTTTGTATATATGTACAGCCTTTCCTCATTTGTTTCCTATTTCTATAGAAACTAGTTGGTTATAGATTTCGGAAGGACAGACAACTGTAATATTGATAATAGGCCAAGAAAAGCTACTAAACCTATTTCTGTTGTGTGCTAGTTTCCTTGTACTATTAGAAAGAGGGGGGGAAAAAAAAACCTACTGAGATTACTGTAAGCTGCTAAAATAACTGTGAGCTGTCTGTATTGTAGTTTCTGTTACTGTCGAGTAAGGTGAGGGTGGGTTCTGCTCTAATCATAGTGCATCCCTTTAAAATACATGAGGGGAATTGTTCTTCATTGCAGGACAGTAAGAAGCAAAAGATGGGGTTGTATGCACCCCTGTCTAGTCTATTCCAAACACAGTGCTGAAATACTTCTTGAGTCAGTCAGCTACTGTAGATCCCTGTTCTTGCTTTATTCCACAGGGCCCCTTTCCATGAGCTAGATAATAAAATACTCCTTGGGTTTTAACTGGAGCTAGGTCCATCCAGCTTTTTCTTGCTTCTGACACCATTAATTAGATCAACCTGCCTCTAAGAACTATATCAAAATGGTTGTCTTCGTGCATTTCTCATTGTTATTCTTTAGTGGGATTGTATTTTGACAGTCAGAGGTTGATTACCAGTTCTGCCAGAGCTTTAAATAAGCTACATTCTGCCTGTTGGGCTAAGTCCATCCTTAATCACTGACCAAGCAGACTATTGCATGCTTTATACACAACTTGAAATTCATGTATCAATCTGCTTCAGAAATAAAACTGAAGGGATGCAATTTGTGAGCTATCATGTGGGAAGAGAAGTAAACACCCTGTTAATTCTCTTACATGACTGCTATTAAAAGAAAGAGGAAATAAGAGTCTAGCACTCCATTATGCTTTATAGAAAAGCCTTTCAGAAGTGCTGCTGGGGTTTTTGTGCCTTTTTTTTTTTTCCTCTAAAAAAGGCAAAAAATAAAAACAATCCCAAAAATGAGCAGTAATCTAGTGAAGCTTAAACTGACAGTCCTTCTCTTAACGTACTGGAACTTCCCCAGTCCTTGAAAGCCTGCTGTTCCACAGGCATTTCAAGAAACTGGAATGGAGTTTTCACATACAGAAGTATTTAGTTGAGTTTAGTTTACTCAACGAAGTATTTAGTTGAGTTTATACACTAAGAAAATTTCAGGATAGGTCAAGAGCTGTCAAGAGTTCCCTTTTTTGAATGGAAGTTGCAGTTTTTCCCAAGATGACTGTATTTGATCTAGGAAGGTACATTTGTCATAGTGAAGGCTAAATCCTCTAGCACTTGCAACCTGCAATTCAGATAAATTTAGGTAACTTTCTAAATGAGAGGTCTTAATTAAAAAATGTGCAGGAATTTCTGTGTTTGAGTACTACAGCCAGTGTTTTTCAGTAGGCCTTATTGCATGACTCTTGTGTTCTCCTCTGATCTCAATGTACTCCAGACGCATTAGTAGAGCTGAAGTGGTGGTACCTGTGCGTGGAGCAGTTGTGCAGCCCTCTGTGGGGCCAGGCTGCCTGCGCTTGTGTAGAAGTTCCCCGTGCTCACTTTGGAAGCACTGTTTTGGTTGACAAATGTTTGCTTGATGATGCAAGCAGCATAAAACTATTAACGTGTAAATCATCAACCAAGCTTTCACACTAACCCATGGAGTTCTGTCTTCAGACAAACTGCATCCAAGGTGGATGCAGCTCATGTGTAAGTCTGCTTACAAACAAGAATGTTGTCATTTACAAAGGCTGAGAGAGAATCTTTTTAGCTCTTCTAGGCTTTTACCCAGGCCCAGAGCATATTTTTCCATAAGTTATCTCTGTCAGTACTGAACTCGGAATACCCACCATAAAAGTAACTTCCTGATTGTTCAGCAGCTTATGGTCCATCCTGGGGCTGCATCTGTGCCTGCATCTTTGGTAATACTATTCAAGAACATGCTGTTTGTCACTTTAAAAAAAGTATGAAATTTTTAGGCTAGCTTTACTTGTTAGTGTGATCACTTTACGGTTTTGTTGGGGTTTTTTTGAGAAGTCCAGGTTTTTTAAGGGAATTTATTCTCTTCCATAGCCTGCTACCACAAAAAAAAAATCCTTTTAGCATTTTGGGAGTATTACTTAACTTTAGATAACGGGATTATTTGCAAGTAAACTATAATTCTCTGAAGATTGTATCCCCTAAAGATCCACAGTTATCTAATCCTTTTTCATTGAGACATCAAAAATGTGCTGGCAGTTGAAGGATAAAGCGTAGCATATAGAGCTGTCAGTGCCTTGCTCCCTTGGGCCTCATGGGAGTGACTGAAAACTCCAGAACTTTATAACAAGCGTCTGGCTTTAACATGAGACTCTCTGTGGTCTATGGAGGGTGCTTTCCTTGGAGCCTTCTGTTCTCTTCAGGTAACTTATTTCTTCCCTTAGATATCTCTAATGCAGGGATTTTTTTAAAAAGATCCTGCTCAGGAATTGCAGAACAATTACTACCAGCTATATTATAGAAATAAATGTAGGACAATGTTTTGCCAATGGTGAGGGAGATAAGTATAAAATGCTAAAGATGCTTTTGTTACTCTTTCCTTGGATAGATCACTACAGGCTACAATTTAGAAGATGACCGGTGTGAATGTGTAGCACTTCAAGATTTCAAGGCTGGAGAACAGGTAGTGTGAACGATTATCTACATAATTGTTCTTTAATTAAGTTTTGCGGGCACTTGGTAACTCCCTACAAAATTTTAATAGCAGAGTGGTGTGAATTAGGCCCTGCTACATTTTAATTTTATTATGCTGAGCTAATTTTGTGTGAAAATACTACCAAACTAAGTGCAGGTTTTTCACAATAAGATATTTTCTATTGCTTGGTAGACCCCAACTTCAGGAGAGTTTTGATTCTTCATATTTTAGAGAACTAATTGAAATATTTAGTCACTGATAAATGCACATACACAGACACAGAGCTTAGTATTCTGGATGAGATTAATAAAAGTCTATATCCAAAGGACGAAGGATAAATATATTTTAGGTTTGGTGTGTCACTTTGTCTGCAATAGCAGATTGTAGAATCTTTCTTAAATATGTTGTTGGATTACATTTGTTGTTAGTCTTCGTTTAACAAGAAGTTAAATGCAGTATAATTACCAGTCATTTTACCTATGTTGCCATTTCCATGCTTAGTGAAAATGAGAAAGGACCTAAAAATACTCTCCCTCCTTTTCACACTAGCATGCACACATATACGCACCCCTTCATCCTGAAACAGAAAATACCCAAGGGCAAGTCTTGCAAAAATGTGTGGAACAGTGGAACAGTTCAGAACCCAGTATTTTGCTAAGAAACAAAAATGAGTGTTAAAACTAGTGCTGCATTGAAGACAGTGGTTCCAGGAGCACAGGAGATAACTGGTAGGAGGGTTCCTGTGCTGTGTCAGTAGTAGCACTGGGTTTTTCCTACTGCTTGTGCAACTGTCGTCAGCATGATCAGAAAAAGACTGTCTGTGAAATATCCTGAAGTGTTTTGTAACTCAGTCTGAGTTATTACCTTTAGTGTATTATTTTGCCAGTCTTGCACTTAATATTTTTATTTTCATTTTTCTTATGTATTGTTACCTTCTTTTTTAACACAGATGTGTCTGAAAAATTTTTTTAAGTATGTCTTTCCAGAGGTATATTTATCCTCATTGCTATGCTGGGGTTTACAGTGATTGTATTTATTTTTTTTTGTGTTGCTCTTAGAATTTGTTATGGTAGTCAAATATTTGCTGTTTTTTTCCAGTGCCAGTATAATGAGTTAAAAGGGGTCCACAGTTTTTCCAGAAGTGATCCAATTTAGAATTTTCCACAGCTGGCAATGGATGTGTCATATAGCTGTTCTGGCTGCTCTCTCCATTTGAGTTACAGAGGCTTCCTCTGTTTGCATTTTATGTTGGTAGTTTCACTTTGTCTGCTATTTATCAGATTTTTTATTTTTTTTAATTTTGTACAAACTTTAACTGTTATTGACATCATTAAAGCACTTTCATTATATAATGCTTCAGCCTTTTAATATACTGTGCAGATGTTATTTCTTACAGTTTCAGCAAAGTGTATGATCCTTGCTTTTACTACTGAAAAATGTGAGGCAACAGAAGTCCACAGAATCTATCAAACACTGTTCTTGAATAAAGCAACTTTCTTATTCTGTTTGATTGACTTTTTTGTAAAACAGTCTTTGAGTGCAAGAGTGTACTGTATAATCTACACATGATATGTGACTTTTTGTTTAAGATGAGATGTATCACAGTAGTTTTAAAGCTCTCTCTTTAACCACTGCCTTAACAGATCTAGGCAGCTCACTTGTTCATTATATGAATGTGTTGCAATATAATGTTTACTATAATTTAATATAATGCTTAAGCATTGGTGCTTAGGATAAATGGTTCTGATGTAAAATTGAAAACAAAGAAAGTAAATGGCATTGTTAGTGTTGTTGAGCCCTTAAGAGAACACCCTGCCTTTCTCAGTCAGCTAGAGAGAAGTGGAAGCTTACAGGTATCCAGAGCATTGCTGTATCCTAAGGTACAAAGAAGGGAGTTCTGTAACTGTTGAAACTTTCTGATTGACAATTCAGTTATCAAACAAAAGGGGAAAATATCCTCTTGATGTGGGAGAAGACAATTGCTACTCAGACCTCTTGTCCCATGTGCTTCATACAGCCTAGCCCTCAATAAACACTTTACAGGTTATATTTAGGAGCTTCTTTTTAAATGTAAATTAAAGTAACCTATTTGCTTTAGATAAAGACTTCTGACTATAAGACAGAAATAAATACTGGCTGAACGCAGATCAGCTCTCTTTGTACTTTGGTATGTTTGTGCCTTAAGGTGACATTAAAACAAAAGCAGAGTTGATCCAGCAGCAGTGTGGGTTACTCTTCTGGGTGGACATAGCGTGGGGAAATGACCCCAGAAACACCGTTTCTTTTAATGGGCCCTCCTTTTCTCTGATTTTTTTAAGCCTTTAAAAGGTATAGGATCTTTGAAAGCTTATTTCCATATTTTGATGTTTTATGACAGTGTGAGAAAACGAAATATTTTTTATTTTAAAGTATAGAATACAAACCTGCTCTCTCCTTTCAAACTCTCTGTTACATTGGTATGTTTACATCTGCTGCTGAAGTATATTGCTGCACTGTATACAGCGTTTGAATTGATACCAGAAAACAAAGCATGTTTCTCTATATAACCAAATATACCTTGTACTCAGACCAGTAACTCTTTCAGGAAATAACTTTCAAATTATGTCAGTTTTGTGAGCTGATCTTAAGCTTTTTTCCTGTCCCTTCACTTCTCTTTTCATCCTTCTAGATTTACATTTTTTATGGCACTCGGTCAAACGCTGAATTTGTGATCCACAGTGGTTTTTTCTTTGATAATAATTCACATGACAGAGTGAAAATAAAGCTTGGCGTGAGTAAAAGTGACAGGCTGTATGCTATGAAGGCAGAGGTCTTAGCTCGTGCTGGTATCCCAACGTAAGTAAAACACAATGCCATGGGTTTTTAAAAACATTTCCAAAGTATATAGTGTCCAGTAGAGCGTATATAAAGCTGTTCTATGATAGCTTTCTTAAGTGTAATATTTCTCCTGTTTGTATAGCAAATTAAAGTTATTGTAATAATATTTGCTGAAGTTTTGAGCTATATTATCATCTAATTTGGACCATTTATAAGGAAAAAAGCCTTTGCTTTAATAACTATTTGAACTAAAACAGAGCAAGGATTAATTTGAAGCAATCTGTGGTTTTTCTTTCTTTCCTATCCCTTGCAGACATACTACGATGCTCGGCATGTGAACCACAGCATTTTCCTTTAGTCTTTTCAGTCCAGAGAGCACTGTTAGGAGCAGCCAATGTGTGAAACGTTGCATTTTCATAAATTTTAATAAAAGATGTATAAAAATGACAAGTGTAAAATTATAGAGATAATTGTTCTTTTCAGATACAGGTTAGGGAAGTTTTTCTTCAGTTTGAACTAGTATTACCTAATTTTTTAGAAGTTAATTTTGTGACAGTGCATTTGTTGTATGCTTTAAGGTCTTATGTTGAAATAAGTTTGAAGGTGTAACAGTAGAACCTGCATTCACTGTTGCTGTTTGATTGTTTGTTTCGTTAGTTCTAGTGTTTTTGCCTTGCACTCCACTGAGCCTCCAATCTCTGCCCAGCTTTTGGCTTTCCTTCGAGTGTTTTGTATGAGTGAAGGTAAGATGTTTTATTAAGATAACCTAATTTACATTTGTTTGGGGTTTTTTTGTTTCTTTGTTTTTAATGCAGGAGTGTGATAGACATTTATATAAAACATTAAGCTAAAAGATCGGAAAAGTTGAGGTTGAAAGGAATTGATAAGCTAGTGAGAAACTCAATCTTTGGCCATGTTGACTGAGGGAATATTTCAGTAACATAGGCCTTTCTGGAACTCCTGAAGCATGAGGTGATGCTATTTTATTTTATTTTTAATCTCCCAGGCTGTTGTGAATGAGTGAGTTCTGAAGCTTGATCTTTAGTTCTTAGGTTTCAAAATGATTCACAGAACAAGACCATGTGAGACCTAGGGATTTACATGTTTAAAATCATAGCATGTTAGCCATCACTGCTAGAATCATTTAAGTGTGGAATTGGAATATCCTGTAGTGTAGGAGAAAAATGGAAGAGATATTTCAAAGCTGAGTATTTTCAATATTTTGGTAATTTTTAATCTAAAACAAACTTAAATATTTGCAAAGTGTCTTTGTAGTGTTTCTGTTATGTTAGGAGGTTTTATGGGGAAAAATAGATGTACAATTAATACATATTAACCTAATTTGTGCATGTGAAACTTCTGATTCAGTGTTTGTCATAGCTGCTTGTTAGTTACGTGCAGTTTTGGACGTTACAGATGTGACAGTTTTTCATGACAGTGAGAGATTTCCCGTGCAAGTTAAAGATGCTGTGTAGATGATGTGAATTTTAATACCAAGAGGAAAACTGAAGCTTCTAAGTTTTTGCATGTGCTCTATTTGCTTTCTGTAATAAAATCATCCTACCTTATTTAGTTTCATACCTTTACTGCTTCCTGTCATCCATCTTTTAGAACTTACTAAGAAATCAGAATAGAATAGTTCAGTTGGAAGGGACCTACAACTATCATCTAGTCCAACTGCTTGACTGCTTCAGGGAAGTAAATTCAAGTAAAGAACATCTTGGGATGCTGATGAGGGAGGTGAATTTTGGCTCAGAGAAGAAAATACAGCTAGTAAATATTTTAATTGCATTACTCTGATATATAATTGTTCTCAGATTATTTATATGTCTTAAATACTGTATAAGAAAACTGTTTATTGAGAGACTACATGCAAGTGGTTTGTGATAGCTGCTTTACAGGAGTGAAATTTGGTAATTAAAAAATTAATGGAATTTGTGGAATGTCAAGGAGTTGATTGAACACTTTATCCTCTGTGAGGTTTGTTTGGTGGATGTCTTTTCTGATCATTTGTGTAGAGTTTCTGCTACTGAAAAGATTACCAAAACCATAGGAAAAATAATTGTATTGCTGTTCACACGCTCCCTGGCCTGTTCATTTTATTATCAAAAAGTTCACTGATCTCTTTAAAGAATTAGTCTCTTTTGTTTATCAAGTATTACACGAAACATTCCATCATACTGTCAGAGTTACACTGTGTATGAGAGGCTATGATAGATAATCTTTATTGCAGAGTGGTGCAAAAGGTTCATTTTCTGCTAACCTCAAGACTTCAGTTACCTCTTTGAGGAGAATCCTAGAAATAACCAGCATATCTGATAATTCTTATTTGAGGAGAGTTTTTTTTTGTTAGCTGCTTAAAGCTATACTACTGAAAATAAATCTTTCTGCAGTTTGTCAACTGACAAAGTGAATGATGAGATTGTTTTTAACCGATTGATTTTTTACTTATTGCAGAAGAGCTGAAGGAACACTTGATAGGCGAGCATGCCATTGACAAAATCTTCACTCTGGGGAACTCTGAGTTTCCCATTAGCTGGGACAATGAAGTTAAGCTTTGGACATTCCTAGAAGCCAGAGCATCCCTTCTTTTGAAAACCTATAAAACAACTGTAGAGGTAAAATTATCATATGTAATTTAAATGTCTGAAATGTTTTGTGTTGCGATTGTAGGAAAAGATATTTTGTCCCCCATCATGTCTTTACAAACTTTAATCTGAGTGTTAGTACATAATTCATTCTTTACTTTTTAAAGTGTAGAAGCAGATTTGCATTATCTAAGGAAAATCAAATAAGATTGCAAAAAAGAAAATTTTGTTAATGTAATTTTGTTAATGTATTTTTTTTCTTTGATTCTTCAAGTAGAGGCTACCTGCTTTTCTCTGCAAGTAAAATGGGGAATCAGTTTCAACCTGTCTGTTAGTTGCGTTCTCCAGACTATGGGTCTATATCACAGAATCATAGGGGTTGAAAGGGACCT